TAATTTAATTTATTAATATAATTTATAAACCAAACCACTACCTACTTATTTTTTCCTAAACCTCACCCAATTAATAATTCAATTATAATATCAAAATCGTCATAAACACTACTAAAACACGATGAAATTATAGAATCCTGAAAATGACATTCAAAATTATTCGAGTCCGAATCGAAGCCCCAATTAAATTTAGGTCGAGCCGCTAATTTAGGAGGACACTTTCTTTCAAGATTGAATTAGAAATTTATGATTAAAATATGTGAAGAAGTAATACATCCCGAATTAATTCATGCACTTTTTTAAATATAATTTATAAATATTTATGATTTCTTTTAAAACCTTTAATATATTATTTTTAAAAAAAGTTACCTATGAATTAACATAACATAATTGAGACGTAAGAATAATTAAGATGAACATGGTTAGACTTTTAAGTTTATCAGTAATTTTTATTTAGACACTTGAATGTATGATAATTTACTTCTATAGATATTTTTGCCTCAAATTTTTAAAAACACTTAATTGGCAGTAGTTAATCTGTTGTTGCATTAATAATGTGACAAATTTATTAATTTAGAGGGGTTTAATTAGTAATGGGTGGGTAGTGGATTCATTTATAAATTATATTTATAAGTTAAATTATAATAAATAGTTGAGCGTCACGTATTTAAAAAAATATTTAAATAGTTTAAATATAAAATCGTTAAATAAGTGATCAATTTTGAACCAAAATGTGGATGACAATGGTATTTTGGACCCAATAGGTGGGTGTGAAGGATATTTTGGAGCCAATAGGTAGTGGAGGGTAATTTTGTACCATTTATAATACTTTGAGGGTATTTTAGGTCTTTTAAAAAATTAATCAATAAAATATTAATATTAATTAAAAATTAAAGATTAATGTTTTACTATCCATATAAAAATTTAAATTATTTTTCTTACCCCACTCCACCAACTCCTCCACGTACCCCCCCCCCTCCCCGACAATCCCATCCTTTTAAAAAAAAATCATTTATAAAATATTTTTAAAAACTTCATAGTTCATCGTCCCCTCCCCTTCCAAAAAAAATAAAACCACCCATTCGACCCCCCCCCCTCCTGCCTCCCATAGAAATTGATATTATATTATTTTAAAAAAATAAAGATCTACCTCCTATTTAATCCTCAGCTCCTAATTTTTTTTACGTGTTTTCTTATTTTGTGTTAGATATGCATGTACATATATTTTTAGAAAAAAGAATTCCACTAGTGTACCGATAATATAACATAAATATTTTTTATATGTATATCTAAAGATTAAAAAAAAATTGAAAGCGGAGGATTAAGTGGGATGGGTAGAATTATTTTTTTAAGAAAATAAAATAATATCTAAATTAGTATGTGAGGAGGGGGAGGAGATGAAGTAAAGAAAATGAAATACTTTTATAAAATAAATTTAAACAAAATAAAAAAACTTAAAAAAACGGTGGGGTTGGGGGGTTGGGGTGAGAGGAAGTGAGGCCTCGGTAAGAAAAATATTTTACATTTTTTATAAAGAAAATATTATTTGTTTTAAAATAATTTTTTAATTTTTAATTTTAACTAATACTAATAATTTATTTATTTATTATCAAGATTAAATGTTTTGGTGTGATGTGGAAATTCTTTAAAATAAAAGAGAGTGTACTACACATACCATGATGAAAGAGGTATAAAAGAGAGAGATGTGTTTCTCAAATTAAAATGTAATAGTTTAGATATGAAACTCAAACTTTCAATACTTTAGGTATGAAACTCAAAAAAAATATATAGTTTAAATTTATTTTTGATACTTATCTCAATAATGCAACTAATACCTAAAACAAAAATCAGTTTCTAAGCATGTTTTTGTGGGAAAAAATATGACATTACATGCAATATTTTAAAATTCTTCAGCCTTTTATGGTTAGATTGTTGACATCTACCCTCCCGTCAAGTATTATTACTTATAATTATAATAATTATTTTCTCTAATGCAGAAGTTGAACTCCCAATATATATGAAAAAATAAACTCTGCAACTCCTTTTTTCTTTTAGGGATAAGGTGGTTACAACCATTCTTAGCAATATCAATATTTGATTTTTTATCCTTACAAAAACTATAAAAAAAAAAAAAAGGAATTTGAAAAAATAGAATGTATTTAATAAAAAATTTTGTGAAACGGTTCTACTCATTAAGAAAATTTTAACAGATACATGTGATAGGTTTCAGTAAATCTTTTTTAGAATTTCATACTTCTTAGAATTAAAAACAAATGCAAGTAATACCTAAAATATTGTGAGTATATATTTGATATAAATTTAATAGAGAGGGTTATAAGAAGATAAGAAATTTAAAATAGCATTAACGTGTAAAAAGCATTTTAAAAAAAACATATAAAAAATTATTAAATTTTGACAATATATACTGCGTTCTCTCTTTAATTTGGATAAGATTGTATTTCATGTAGCGGTTGAAGCTACATTTTTTTTGGACTTAAACAATGAAGAGATTTTGACCAAGGAAAACAAAGCATAGTAAAAAATAAATAGAATGTTGAAAGTAAGAAACTATATATTTATATACGTAATGCTAAACCATGAGTTATAGAAGGATATAAGTGAATGTGTGTGTATATATATATATACGGGAAAATTGTATATAATAGCAAACTAATAACCTAAAATAAATGGAGTAGCTATGGTTTGATTTAATTGTGCTCCATAGTAAACGTTAGCCAAAGTTTGCCATGCGCCTCTCCCAAAATTCTCGTTCGCCACTCTCCCATTCTCGCTCGCCACTCTCCCTCTGCTCGTCTCTCTCGCTTTTATACACAGAAGTGTATAAATTCTGTTTCTGTTTTGTATAAAGCGAGAGAAAATTGTATATACACATGCAAACACATATATCTTCGTGTTATACACTTAATTATACAATTTACAAACATTTTGCTTCAATTCAATTGTAGACAAATGCAAATTTTATACAAATATTGCAGAGAAAAAGGCCAACGAATTATACAATTGCGAATTATACAATTGCAGTGAAATACAATTTTCTCTAGCTTTATACAACAGAAGTGTATATATTGTATTTCTGTTTTTGCATAAAGCGAGAGAAAAACATATATCTTCTTGCTATACACTTATAATTATGCAGTATACATACATTTTAATTCGATTGAATTGTATGCAAAGCAAATTTTATAAAAATATTGCAGCGAAATAGGTAGCGAATTATACAATTGTGCATTATACAATTGCAGCGAAATAGGCCATTAAAACACAATAACGATAGACATTAACAAGAAATGAAAAATATATAAACAAAATAATTTCAATGTAAAGGAGTAAATATTTATTTGAGATGAGAAAGTATTTTGAAATATTAAAAAATAAATATTATATGAATAGAGATCATGTAATTGAAATCTTACTGAAAAGGACAAAAATAAAAATAATTAATTGATGAAAACATTCAAAATAAAAAATTCAAAATTTTATGTTGATATTTCAATTTTAAAGGTAAAACTCGAACTTTTAAATGTAAGATTCTTAATTGGGAAAATGCACAAGTACTCCCCCTCAATCTATGCCCGAAATCTCAGAGACACACTTATAATATACAAAGGTCCTATTACCTACTAAATTTATTTTATAAGTAATTTTCTACCCCTTTTTGACCTTCGTGGCACTAGCTTGAAAAAAAAGTCAACCAGCGTTGGGCCTACAAGATAGTGCCACGTAGACCGAAAAGGGTAAAAAATTATTAATAAAATAAGTTCAGGGAGGTACTAGAACCTTAGTATAGTATAAGTTTGTCTCTGAGATTGCGAACATAGATTAAGGGGGTACTTATGCATTATTCCTTATTAAATTGATTCAAAATTTATTAATAACTTTATTTTAACTATATATGAAAAGGTCGATAAAAATACTTCATCATAAAAAATTAAATAAACAGGGGAATAATAATGTATAACTTTTTTTTAATGTATAACGGAATCATGCAACTGAATTTTTAGTGCATAAAATATAGAATTGAATGTCTAATATAATAAAAATTAGCAACATAATGAAAATTTCCTAAGTAACTAATATATGAAATTTGTAAACTTTAATTTAATTAAATATAAAATTATATGTTAAAAATAAAGTGTAACGAAATCTGTATGTGTTATCGCATATAATTTTTTTAAAAAAATGATCCTTAAAAGCATCAATAGCTTATTCAAAAGCTTTAAACATTGAAAAAAAATGATATAAAATCTCAATTTAGCTATTAATTAATATTATCTTATTTCGATCACATATAAAATTTATATGACAAAAACTAATTAAAAATACACAATAGAAAATCATTTCCATAAACAGTGATAGAGATAATTGTTAAATAAATGATTCAAACAAAAGAAGAGAAAAGTTATTGCAGAATCTTTTAGTATTTTTACTGCACTTTGACGTAGTCTACGATAGTTGTTATTTAATCCTTAAGTTTCTCTTTTCAGTTAAAAGCACTATTGAGTTAGTGCCCATTTAATTTTGCATTTTAGTGGAGTTGTAAGCCTATTTAAAAGGCATTATTGATGCTAAATATGATATGAAAACGAAAGCCATCAGTTCAAGAACATGGAGAATTCAGAATTTCAAGGCTCATCAAAGGTAATATTAAACTTTAAACTCTTCGACATGAGTTTGAAACTTTAATGATGAAAGGAAATGAATCAGTGCAAGATTTTCTCTCTAGAGCAATGACTATTATTAGTCGAATGAGGTCATACGACGTCCAAATAACTTATCAAACTATTGAGGAAATTTTTTTAAGGAGTTCAATTCCTAAATTTGGTCATGTTGTGGCTGCAATTAAGGAGTCGAAATATTTATCAAAATTTTCATTTGATGAATTGATGGGTTCTTTATAAGCCCATGAGGCAAGGATAAATAGGTCAGCAGAAAAGCAGGAATAAAAAGCATTTCAATCGAAGGTGGAAATTGAAGAGACCATGAAAAGGCAGCAACAAGAAGAGGACGTGGTAGAGCTGCATTTCGTGGAAATAGTTGAGGTCGAGGCCGAGGCAAAGACTTTGAACAAAGACACTTCAATGAGCAAAGATGCAATAGAAGCAACAAACAATGTCGTAACTGCAAGAAGTACGGGCATGCGCAAGAAGATTGTTGTTAGAAGGAGAAACAAGAGAATTATGCAGAAACGACAAACAAAGAAAGTAAGTTATTCATGGCTTGTCGTGATACTAATGAAGTTGCAGGTGATATGCGATTTGTAGATAGTGATTGTTCCAACCATTTGTCAGGTATGAATTCAATCTTCAAAGAACTTGATGAGACACTAAAATTGACTGTCAGACTTGGTGATAAAAATTGTTTTCCAGCTGAAGGAAAACGAATAGTAGAAATATGAAACATCCATGGTAAAGTAAAGCTTCTTCATGATGTTCAATTTGTTCGTAGTTTGGCTCATAGTTTACTGAGTGTTTTGAAACTCATGGCTAATGGATATTCACTATTGTTAATGATGGAACATGTGTTATTAAATAAAAATAATCAGGCCAAACAATGGTTAATGTTCGCATGGCTGAAAACAGAATGTTTTCGCTAGAAGTTTCAAATGTGGAAAACTTTGCTTTGGTAACTGGAGCTAAGAATAACTCTGAATTATGACGTTTGAGGTACGAGCATCTTAATTTCAAGGGTCTAATGTTGCTACGCAAAAAGGTATGTAATTTGGCTTAGCATAAATTAATTCTTTTGATTTATGTGAGATTGCATTTATAGGAAGCAAAGTAGAAAGTTGTTTCTTGTCGGAAAGACTTAAAGAACATCCATCTACTTGCCTAGAATTAATTCATACAGATTTGCATGGTCCAATGAATACTGAATCTTTTGGTGGAAGTCGATATTTTTACTCATCACAGATGATTTCAGTAACATGAGTTGGGTGTATTTTCTAAAATACAAATCAGAAACGTTTGAAAATTTTAGAAAATACAAAGCACTAGTGGAGAATCAAAGTGGGTTATACATAAAAACTCTCCGAACGGACAAAGATGGTGAGTTCTTATCGAATGAATTTGTCCATTATTCTGAAGAATTTGGAATTCACAGGTAACTTAGTACACCCTACACACCGGAGCATAATGGTGTAGCTCAGAGTAAGAACCGCACTGTTGTAGAGGTGGAAAGAAGTTTGCTGAAAGGTAAAGGACTTCCAAACTAATACTGGCAGAAGCAGTTGCAACCTCAGTGTACCTACTGAATCTATTGCCTACAAAGGCTGCGATGAATCAAACTCCATATGAAGCTTAGAAAGTTAAAAAAGTCCTTCGGTAAGCCATTTAAGAATTTTTTTTATCTTATTGTCTATCCTTTGGTAAACTCTCAAACTCTTCAAAAGCTAGATGAAAATCACAAAAATGTATTTTCATTGGTTATTGTCTTGAATCCAAAGCATATAGGTTATATAACCCTCTTAATGACAAAGTGATAATTAGCATAAATATTGTATTTGATGAAAATTTAAGTTGGAGATGGATTAAAAAACAAACACAATAGGAGATTTCAATACACATTGAAAATTTTGCAGATGAAGGAAGGGTCTGATACAAATTCACTTGAAGAAGCGATTGAACCAGAGACATTAGCAACACTTGAAGAACCTTCATTTGAGTCAAACTGAGAAGATCAACAAGATCCAGAAGAGAGATTCCTAGATATTCTAATCAATGTTGTCAATTTTCTTTTATTGTTTAGATCCTATATTTTATGAAGAATCAATTGAAAAAGAGGAGTGGAAGAATACGGTGAAGGGAAATTGATGAAAATACAAAGAAGCAGCTCACTAACTTGCCAAATGGAAAGAATGTAGTTTGATTAAAGTGGATATTCAAAAAAAAGTATCACCTAGATGAAAGTATACAAAAATACAAGGCAAGACTTGTCGCAAAGGGATACTCGCAGCAACATGGTATTGATTTTGAAGAGAATTTTCTCCTGTATCTCGATTTGAAACAAGAAAGACAATTTTAGCCTTGCTTGCTCAACTGAGATGGTCACCTTATAAACTTGATGTTAAGTCAAACTTCTTGAATGACAAACTGGAAGAGGAGGTTTATGTTGTAATATCTCGCAACTAGACAACTAGAAAAGAGGCTAAAATATAGAAATATTTATAGTTGGAAAGAATAAGAAAAAATTGGAAAATTGACTAAGTTATAAAAGTGAGTTTTAGACATTTTCAAATAGCCATAACTTCTAGCTCAGGATGAGTTAAAGGCAGATCTTGTTATGGTTGGAAAGACCTTAGAGATATCATTCCAACTCCGTTGAGTTTGCGTGATTTCGAGATCGTATGAGTGAGTTATGCCTTTCAGAAGTTGGGTTGTTGGATTAAGGATAGTCTAATTCGGATTTGAGAAGGACACAGTTCTCGTTTACTTATCCAATTATTTTATTTCATTTTTGGGTAATAAATTGGGGGTCTAAACTGATCTTATTCAGTTCACGATTTTAGAAAAACAAGTTAGAGTTTTCAGAGAAGAGAAAAGAAGAGGAGAAAAAGGAGGAAAGAGAGGAGGAAGCAAGAACATTCAAGATCGTCGAAGTTCGGCTTGTAGAATTTTTCAGGGGTGATCCCTATCAAGGTATGTGAGTTATTTCCATGTTGGGTTAGTTCACCCACACAAAAAACTTGTTTAGTTCAGAGATTTTGGGTAGATTGATTGATGAAAATTGAAGTTCTTGAAGAATAATGTTAAATTCTTGTTGGTTGAATTGTTGTATGCCAAGAGTTGATATGATTCGAGTTTCCTGGTTATTTTTCAAGTCTAATCTATTGGGTATTGAGGGTATTATTGATTCTAAGTGTTTGCATATTGATCTATGGAAGCTTAGAAGGTTCAGAGATGAAAAATGGAAAAGAAAAGTCAAAATGTGCATCCGATGTGCCTTTGGGTGCCACGCCTAACATATCACCACAAGATAGTCTCTATCCGTAGGGCCTTGGGGTGGATCGCCAGCCAGATCGTCCTAACATGGCCTCCGAAGTTTGGGTCCTAGCGCCCCACGCCTCTTAGAGCGCCAATGACGCCAGTTCACCTATTCAATCCCCATCTTTTTGTACTAGTTCTTAAGTGATATACCAACATTTCCTAGTTAATTCTAACATTTTAAGGTACAATTGAATATCATGAAATCTTCCATAAACATGAGCATGAGCCTTGAATCCATAATCCAATTAAAGGGAAGTTAAGATCAAAGTCAAAGAAGTTAAAAGTCAAGTATAAAAGTTAAAAAGCAAGTCAAAGCAAGTTTATAAAGTTTCCAAGAGTCTTTAACAAACATGTTAACTTTGTTTTAAGGCTCTTGTTACAAGTTAAGCGAACAGTAAAGAATTGAGTTCAATTCTCAAAAGTTATAAGGGAACTAAGTATTCCCTTAGAGATAAGTTTCAAATTAAGTAAAAAGTAAAGCGTTGAAGTTCTTCCTTCAATGAAATATAAGGGAACTAAGTATTTTCGAAGAATAGTTTCAAGACTCAAGTTTCAATCTCAGTAAAGAGTAATGAGTTAAGTAGAAGCTGTTTTCTTCTAAATTATTTGAGGGCTAAGTATCCCTAAAGAGATTTAAAATGTTTTCACATTTTAAAAAGTATGGAAACTAAGTTTTCCAATGAGCCTTCAAACTAGTTTTCATAATAGAGTTATAGCTTTATCAAATAAAGCAAGCAGGAAATTGAGATTTCCAAGATAATTGTTGAGCTAAATTTTTGAGCACTAATCTCAAATAACAGGAAAAGTTGTTTTCAAAACATACAAGATAAGTATATTTTTGGGAGTAGTATTGATCACCTATATGGGAGAGAGTTCAGACAACTCACAACCTCTATAAACCATGTAGCTATCATGGGTAGAAAAGGATCATACTTTTAGATGAATCCTTTCCACAATTTACTAGTGAATCCATTAGGTAGTTCAGGTCTTATACTCTGGCAAGGTTAGGATGGTCCTTGGCAGCGTTAGGTAAAACGTTGTATCATCAATATAACTATTAAGTGATGGTTGTTAGTTAGAGAAACTCACACAACAGTAGTTTCATGGTTCCTCAAGAGGTTCTGCTTCGTATAAAAGGGGTATAGGATTTCATTCATGCATTGCACGAGTAGACTTTGAGAAAAAGCATAATTTTTTTATTAATATTATGAGTTTACATCACATTATTTTGTATTTTTACATACGTCTTAGAGTTAACTGTATATTAACATACACATAGTTGAAAACTATGTTTTAAACAACTTTTCTTTATATTTCACATGTCCTCAAACTGTTATATAAAGAAATGAGTTACTTCTATTGAGTTTTGTTATTCATGAGTTGAGTAGAACCAAGATAAATGTTCCTTCTTACCCTTTTCAAGCTTAACTTGTGTTTATAATTTTAAATCACATATTCATACATTCAATGTACTGATGTCAGTTGGCCTGCATCGTATTATGATGCAGACGCATGTAACTAGGATCAACATTCGGCGTACTATTGATCTATTGAGTAGATCAGAGTCACTTGTTGAGCCTCCTTTTATTCTGGAGGACATCTTTATCATTTAGTTATTTGTTTTTAACTTTCGGTTGTTAGGATTATTGGGGGGTCCTGTCCAAACATCCATCTTTGCTTTAGAAGCTTCCTATATAGATAGTATTAGTTTTTTGGTCTTTTAATTTCACTTGTAAATAATAAGACATGAAGTGTCCATTTTGGATAAATATTATTTTAATCTACTACCTTGAGTTATATCTTGTCTTTAAGTCTTCCGCTAAGTTACATGAGCCAGAATACAAGTTTGCTCAAGGCTAGCAATGGTCATTGGGTGCCGACCACATCCAGGTGTAGGCTTGGGGCATGACAAACTTAGTATCTATACAAAGAGTTCAAGAGTCATAGGGAGTCTATGAAGAGTCTTAATCATCGATGTGAAGCGTGCCACATCTATGATTATGAGGCTATAACATTTAGGAATTCCTCACTTATTTCATATCCTTTCGTGAATTAGAGTTTATCTCTAAAAATTTTCCTTCTAATTTGTGCATGCGCATGTTTTCAGAGAATCATGCCTCCACGAAGAACAGTCATAGGTCGTCTAGCTAGGAGTATTGTTAAGGAACAAGAGTTGCCAAATGAACCTAAAGTACAACCTCAAAGAGAAATTACCCTACTGAATTCTGTGAGACCATTCAGATGTTAAGTCAAGTTGCAACTCTTTAAGTTGGACAGAGAGGTAATCGACATCAAGTGGATGATACCTTAAGGATACATGAGTTTTTAGGGATGAATCAACCAAGATTCACATATTCAAGTGTCAGAGACGATCCAGAGAACTTTATTGAAGTACATAAGAAATTTTTTGACATATTGCATGTTGTTAATGCTGAGAGGGTAGAACTATCTGCATACCAACTAAAGAGTATTGCCAGTGTCTAGTTCGACCAATGGAAGATGAATGGGGATGCGGATGCGCCAATAGGAGTTGGGATGTGTTTGATAATGCTCTCATAGGAAGTTTCATTTTCCATGAGTTGCGAGAGGCAAATATTAGAGAGTTTCTAACCCTTAATCTGGAGTCTATGAGTGTTCATGAGTATAGTCTGAAGTTTGCACAACTTTCCCGCTATGCTCTGGAGATGGTTGTTGAGATGAGAAATAGATTAGTTTATTTGTTGTTGGTTTGTCTCATCAGCCAAGCAAGGAAGGCAAGGCAGCAATGTTGATAAGGGATATGGACATAGAAAGGCTAATGATCCATGTGCAACAAGTTGAAAAGTATAAGCATAAGGATAGAGAAAGACTTAAGAATAAGAGAGCTAAGACATCAGACAACGAGTTTAGGCAGCAAAAGAGTAGTACAAATTCTTCCTTCCAATAGAAACAAAAGGGATCTGCTACACCATCTATTAGTGCCCTTGAAGCTAGAAACAAAGGTGAGCATAATGGTCGGAGTTCACAACCCTACAGAGCTAGACACGCCAAGTCTCAAGGTAGTAAGGCGCAATGAGGTAACTATGTTCCTACATGTTCTAGGTGTGGTCCAACCTACTCAGGTATTTGTGGTGAGGGCTCCAGGGTTTTCTTCAAGTGTGGATAAGAAGGTCACTTATTAAGGGTGTCCGAAGAACATGTAGGAAATGGTACCGGTGGAGTAAAAAATCGTCTATATGTTATCATCAATCGCCAAGAGCAAGAGGATTCGCTAGATGTTATCACTGGTATGATTCAGGTCTTTGACTTTACTTTTTATGCTTTGCTAGACCCAGACGCGACTTTATCTTTTGTAACTTCATATATTGCTATGAATATTTATGTTATTCCTGAGAAACATAGTGAATCATTCAGTGTTTACACACCTGTTGGTGAGTCCATTCTAGTAGAGGGAGTCTATCGTGATTCTCCCATTTTCATCAATCACAAGAGTACCATGACTGATTTAATTGAGTTAGATATGGTATAGTTTGATGTCATTCTTGGTATGGGCTTACTTCATGCCTAGTATCAATAGATTTTAGTATTCGAGTAGTCAAGTTTCAGTTTCCTTGGTAAAAGAGTTTACAAAAGTCTTTCCTGATAATCTACATGGAATCCCTCCTGAAAGAGATATAGACTTTGTCATAGACATTATTCCAGATACTCCTCCTATCTCTATTCCGCCGTATAGAATGACACCAGTAGATCTGAAAGAGCAGTCGAAGGATTTTCTAGAGAAGGGTTTTATTTTACCAAATTAACTTAGGAGACAGTTAAGTTTCAATGGTTTGAAGTTGGTGAGAAAAACTTTCAGGAATTGAAAAAAAAAATTGACTACTGCCCAGTTTTGACTTTACCAGAAAGTACTCAAGTTTTTGTGTGTATTGTGATTTATATAGTGTTGGTTCGGGTTGTGTATTGATACATAATGGCAATATATAGCTTATGCCTCTAGAAATATAAAAGGTCATGAGAAAAAATTACCGAACCTATGACTTAGAGTTGTTGCTGTAGTATTTGCTTCGAAAGATGATGCCATTATCTTTATAGTATTCATGTGGAAGTGTTCACCGATCACAAGAGTTTTCGGCATGTGTTTAGTTAAAAAGAGCTTAATCTCAAGCAAAGAAGGTTGTCTATGGGTAGTACCACCCATTTCGAAGAAGATAAGAAAGAGTTAGCAAAGGGTGTGCATAGACTTTCACGATTAGGAGTTTGATTAATGAATTATACAAAAGGAGGAGAAGTGGTGATAAATGTGGCTGAATCATCATTAGTGTCAGAGTTAAATAAATACCAAGATCCTATCCGGCTTGAATTAAAGTCAAATGTTCATAAGAAAAAACTGATGGCTTTTGAACAAGGGATATGGTGCATTGAGGTATCAAGATAGGTTATGTGTACATATGGTATATGATTGAATTACTTTAAAGTTTCACCCATGAAGGGTGTTATGAGATTTTGTAAGAAGGGAAATAAGTTTATACAGAAGCTAAAGAGGATAGGAAGAAGAGATACCCACATCTCTTCGAATCCGGAGAAGTTCCAAATTGAGTTACTAATCCTTATCTTGCCATTAATATTGAGTTGGAATGTTGTGTTTATATTTTATTGTTGGGTGTATGAGCTGA